TAAATATTGAGTTTAAAATTTGAATAAATAAAGTAGTTCATTGCCATAAATCTTATTTTCTAGAAGGAATAAATGCTTTAAACAAATATAATGAAACTATAGAATTTGAGGAACCAAGAAGTAGATAATGGTGATTATTTTATGGTGGGGCTTACTGAAATCTGGAGTTATATTAGGTAAATCCTTCTCCAAATTTATTAAGTTCTACCCTCTACTCACTGCTTGTAAGATAGCAGGGAAATTATTTGTATTTCCTATCCCCAATTTTGATCTCTGAGTTAAATTTAATTGTTTTCTTTGTCTTTGATCTGGGGCAAGTTTGGGCATAAGTGGTAACACTCAAGAACAGCCAGTGAGACAAGTAACCACTTTTCAGCCATGTAGATGTCTCTAGTCAAACCTGGCTTTCAACCATTCATTCATTGCAAATGTAGGATATTTCTATGCATAACATAAGCCAAATATGAATTTAGAATATATAAAGTATAAATATAGAAAGACATATTAAAAAAATATATCTAGATAGTTTATGGGTCTTCTCTTAAGAGTATTAAAAATGTCTCAATTTGCAGTAACTTAGCCATCAATACATTCCTGAGGACTTTTTCGTTTTAATTGAGTTATATCTCTTGTAATTTCTCAAGAAACGAGGGAGAGCTGAATGTATGTATTTAAAATACAAATGCTGGTCACATATGAAGCTACAGCAATCTAAATATGCTTGAGATTTTAGCATAAAGTCATAGTTAATATCTAGGATATAACTAAAAAATCTAAAAGTATATACCTTTTTTTTTCCCAAAGGAGCACGAACCCAGATAAACCAAGGATATTTGTAGCATTACATCACAGACACTAATGATCAATATTTTGGAAACTGAATATCCCTCAGTTGTGTAAGACTCAGTATTCATCTTTCATGTTACATTGCAGCCATTTCTCTGCATATTAGGACTGGGTGAGAAAGAAAGAAACTCATTTTAATTACATTTTTATATTTCTGGGCTGTTTGAAGTAGTATCACCTATACCAAGCCCTGCCTTCTGTAGGTTGTCTTAGCAAGAATCCTAGTAACCTTCCAATTTTATCCTCAGCTACATCTTATTTTTTCGATTATTCCTTATCAGGAAAGAAAGCTTAGCCTATTAGATACATCTGGAATTTGCTTTACCATTTAAGACTGGGAATTTGGTGTAGATCAGGTAGCTGAACTTGGGCATTCTTATCTGTCAAACAAATATAATCCTCCTCTTCCTGAGCACCCCCACCCCGAACACACATTAATCCATAATCTTTGCTCAACAGTTGTTGGTGCTGGCGGCAAATTTACAAGGAAGCCATGCTTTGATTTTCCTGTGTAGTCATTCATTTCCACCTGGCACCTCACTACTGATCTGAATGCTTATTTCATGACTGCCATGAAGTAATGGAATAAGACAGAGGGCAAGGGACAGATGATTAAAAGGGCAGGGAACAGAAATGTACACATAGTTCATTTTCTCGAACTCTTACACATCTTTGTCACCTCCTTCAGTTTGCGTTCTGAAATCATAGATTTCATGTTTGTGCTCAAGCAGCTCTAATGATAATAATCCTTAACTCACTCCTTCTTGCTTCACTTGTCAAGTGCTAGTCAGTAAGTCAGTATGTGCATGTGTGTGTGTGTGTGTGTATAATGTAAAGAGAACTCAAAAAAAAAAAAACCAAAACAAAGTCACTGCCATCAAGTCATATTCCACTCATAGCAACCCCTCCTTGGGTTTCCAAGGTGCTCTCTCTACATAAGTAGATTGCCCACTCTTCCTTCCACGGAGTGGCTGGTGGATTTGAACCACCAGCCTTCTGGTTAGCAGTCAAATGTCTTAGGCACTATGCTACCAGAGCTCCTTAAAGAGAACTAGAAAGGTAAAATGCATACATGTATATATACATATAACTAGAGTTATCTACATGGCTGAAAACTGGATACTTGTCTAACTGGCTCTTCTTGAGTGTTACTACTTATGCTCAAACTTGCCCCAGATCAAAGAAAAACAAAACAGTGAAATTTAACTCAGAGATCAAAATCCAGGATAGGAAATCCAAATAATTTTTCTTTCTTTCTCTCTTTCCTTCTCTCTGTCTGTCTGTCCTTATCTCTTTCTTTCATCAGGGATTCTCAAAGTGTGTCTGCTGAACATCAGCAGCAGAACCACCTATAAAAATTATTTTTTAAAATCCAGATTCTAGATACTCACCCTAAGAATAATTTGGACTTTTAAAAAGCTTACTAAACAATTATTTTTGTTCACTGATGTTTGAGAACAATGTTTGCAGCTTCTCAAGTCCTTGAGATATTAGGTGGAAACAATTGTATAGAAATAGTATAAGAAAAATAAGTATTTATTTTTAAAGAGACACCATCTCTGGTGGGATAGTGCCTAAGGCATTTGACTGCTAACCAGAAGGCTGGCAGTTCAAACCCACCAGCCACTTCTCAGAAGGAAGGTTGGTCAGTCTACTTCTGTAGTGATACCGCCTCGGAAACCCAAGGAGTGGTCACTATGAGTCGGAGGCGACTCGACAGCAGTGAGTTTGGTTTGGTTTTGGTTATCACTTTCAAGATATATTTTCTTATTCATGCTTCAGAATAATAGCTAGTAATCCTAGAAAAATATTTGGTGAAGAACAAGTATGTCCCAGGGGAGATATTATTATTTTCTCAATATTTGCTCAGCCAGCTAAACTACTTTGAAGAAATGTAGTATAAGCATTAAAACCGTTCTCTGCTTAAATGTAGAAGTAAATTTATAAATGGATTTATTTGAATATAGTTTTACTAGTATACTTTAAAAAAAACTTTAAAGGTATGAGCATTTTGAACATTTTCATGTATTTCAAAAGTAAAATATACAGTCACACACTGGCCAATTATGAATTAATGGCCATTTAACCATTTTTTGTGTTACATCTGTTGCCAGGAATCTTTGAATATAATTGCAAGTTGAGTTATGTCATCAATCAAATTGGTTATGTCATCAATCAAAAGAAGCAATGCTTTTTATTTTTTCATTTTTTTTTTTTTTCCAAAATAAGCCTATTCGCAAGGTAGGGGTATAGAAAGATACTCAATTAGATTCTTTTTCTTAAAACCTTCTTCTCAATTTTCATGCACACCTAGTGGCACAGTGGTTAAAGCTCTAGGCTGCTAACTGAAAAGTTGGCAGTTTGAACAAAGCACTCTGTGAAAGAAAGATGTGGCAATCTGCTTGTGTAAACATTCACAGCCTTGGAAACCCTATCTGGTAGTTTTACTCTGTCTGTCCTATCAGGTCACTTTGAGTAGGATCAACTCCATGACAGTAGGTTTGGTTTTTTGGTAATCCATCAATTTTTGGAGCCTTGTTTTTCACCAATTCCTTCAGTGCAGCTTGGACTTCTTCCTTCTATGTCATCAGTTCTTGATATCCTGAAATGGTCGAATATGGACAAATTCTTTCTGGTACAGTGACTCTGTGTATTCCTTCCATCTTCTTTTGATGCTTCCAATATTTTGCTCATAAAATCCTTCAGTATTGCAACTTGAGGCATGAATTTTTCTTCAGTTCTTTGGCCCTGAAAAATGTTGAGGTTTTTCTCCCCATTTTGTTTCCTAACTCTGAGTCTTTGATATTTATTACAATACTTTGTCCTGTCAAGCTGCCCTTTGAAATCTTCTGTTCAGCCCTTTTACTTTATCATTTCTTCCATTCATTTTAGCTATTCTCTGTTCAAGAGCAAGTTTCAGAGCCTTTTCTTACATTTATTTTCATCTTTTCTTCTTTCCTGCCTTTTTAATGACCTGTTGCTTTCTCTAGGAGGTCTGGTGACAGTTGTAGTGGTTAAAACTTTTGGTTGTTTACCAAAAGGTTGGTTGTTCAAACCCACCTGCTGCTCCATGGGAGAAAGATGAGGCAGTCTGGTTCTGTAAAGATTTACAGCCTTGGAAGCCCTATGGGGCAGTTTTACTCTGTCCTATAGGGTTACTATGAGTTGGAATTGACTCAGTGGCAGTAGGTTTGGTTTATATTGGTTTATCCTAGTCCAAGCACTTTGCACTATACAACCAAAGTATTGCAAAGGATCACTAAGGGGCTTAGAAATTCCTTTCAGCAATATATATGTGTGTGTCTGTGTGTGTGTGTGTACACTCACTGCTTTCAAGTTGATTCCTGACTTGTAGATTGGTCCAAATATTTTTCCACCGATTATTTTCATGATGGTATACTACAATTGTAGTATACCAATTGTATACTACAATTGGTATACTACCTTACATCTATGGTGACTCTTCTGGTTACTTATTTTCACAAGAAAGCCTCTTCAGCCCCACATCCAGGGATCTTCTTTAGTTATTTTATTCATTTCAACTTGCTTTCTTCCCTTCCACTTTTTTCTTCACTCCAAATATTCGCTTCTCATTTTAAGGCATGACTTTTGAGTTCATCCTATCCTATGCTTTCTCATGTGCCATTGATCTAGTCAGAAATGTCTTTCTTCTGATTGTAGTAACTTATGTTAATTAATTCCTTTCCTTCCTTACCCAGTAGGTGAGATGAGACTTTTCAGTTTAATTCAATGACATGCTGATCTGTCTCTCATGGGCATTCTCTAGTCACCAAGAGTATCTCTTACTATGTTCTTGACATGCTTTCTTGCTGTTTTAACCCTAATTCAACTATAAGCTCATAAATTTGCATAAACTAAAACTTAGTTTTACCAACTTGAATATTGTTAAAATCACCTAGTAGGAAGATCTTTTAAAGTCACAGTTTCCAGGCTTCCCACTCCCCAAACATACTGAAACTAATTCTCTGGACTTGAGACTATGTAATCTGTATTTTCTGTTTTTAATTTGCTGAGCTTCTATTATATGCCATCCATTTGTATACCAAAAATCTGTTTGTATACCATAATATTGTATATCATCAATATTCTATAAATGGTATTAGCTGAGGTTAATATAGTTTAGGTACACTTACCTATCTGTCCAGGTTTGTAAATCTTTTTATCTGTCTGCACAATGACCACATTTCTTTTGGGCTGGATTGCCACAGATCTTCTTTCATATAGGTTGAGAGTGTCTCCTTTAGCAGAGAATGTAATGAAAGCCAGTGGGTCAGATCTGGCCTTAGGAACCTACAGAGCAAACAAAATACTTTGAGACTGGTGTTTTGTCAAGAAATCCCTACCACCAACTGTGTCGGTATTACTAAATGTTTCAATCTATAACTTGCAGATTTATTTCTTGAATAGCCAACTTTCCTTCTTTCTCTTGCTTTGTTACTTTCTTATTATATTGTACCCTTTTAAACTAATTTTCTTTCATTTTTCTTAAATCTTTTCCTTCTCCAAACAGTTGTCTTTCTTGTTATAAACTTTATTCCCTTCAACAAATTTCTGTCATAAAATCAAATGGGTTGGCTCATCTTGTTGTGACAATGTAATACTATACTTACTATCTCAAACTGAGGAGTGCATTATCCTTTTAAAAATTAAAAGACGTTCATACATATAGTCAAATAATCTGATCTCTGACCCTAGAAAGTGAAGGACCTGCATTACTCTTTTCCATATAAAACAGAATGAAATACTTCACCTCAAAGTTGACGCATTGGAAGAAATTCTCTCCTGTAACACGTTCTTCTAATATTTTGGTCTGAACCTCACCATAGTTGATGGAGACAGTCAAAACAACACTTTCAGTAAGATTAAAAAGCTGGGCACAAACTTTTTCTAAAGAGCCTTCTTGTAGAACAGTGGGGACCAACAGCACATATTGCCTAGAAAAATTAAGGAAGAGCATAAAAAATGAAAGCGCCAAAGGAATGTTTAGCTACTTAGCAATTATTTTGTTACTGGAAGGACCTTGGAGTTTAATAAAAATGTATTTTAAAAAATGTTAAAAGTATATCTGAAGTCTAAATCTGAGAACTTGAGAGGTATGAAACAGAAAGAAGCTTGCTTTTAAACTGAATTTTGTCAACTCAGTGAGGAAAATCTCAATTATAAAGCAGTAATTAATTATCAAGTCATTAGTTCTGTAATGCTTAGCATTGTTAGTCTCCTCACACAGCGCTTTTACTCCTGGATTAATGCTGTACATTCCATTTTATATTTGCTTACTAGTTTTCTAGCTTCCTTCCCCACTGACAACCTGATACCTCTTCCTCATCATAAGTACAACACGATTACAACTCTTAATCACTGTCCTGGGTATCTACTGGGCAGCAATAAAGGGTAACATTCAATTTTGGAATTTATTGTGTAAATTAAAATATTTTTGGGGTATATTATGAAATGGTAATATCTAAAATCAAATTATTGTAATAAACTAGGTAATACAATTAGAAATTTTACCACCAAGCTCTATTTGGCTTTCACATATAACAATAAAACTCTATGTAATCACTTACACATGAGAAAGAGACAGATGAAAGAGAAAAACACCCAGAAGTATTCTCATCCACATCGTGATCCAAATAGAAGAAGAAGAAGCCAACACACAGTAACCCTTGATCCAGGTCCTGGTCAGTGTCCTGAGAACAGAAACATTTCACTGGCCAGGTATGCCAACTCTGAAGCTATATATCCATGCAAGAACTCTGGATTTCCTGAGTCATTCATGAAGTGCAGCACATGTAACCTAATTGGATACATTCTTTGAGTTTCAGTCACTTCCCAGTACTAGTACTTGTGTGTGATACTTGTCATTAGGTGTGTCACAATCTCATTTATGAAAAATCTTGCATCAGCATGTACCAGTTAAAACACCTGCCAGTGAATCTTTTCAAGCACACATTAAACCTCATTCCAATGATTTCAATGATTATAAATGAATTTTTCTCTTGCTACACTATTTTTCTTGGGTAAGAGCAAACTCTGTGTTGAAAAGTCAATACCTATTCATGGTTGGCAATAGTTCCATGTAGTTATTACATGAATGATATTTATTCATTATAAATTTAAGAAATATCATAAGAAAATTTAAAATAATGACAGAAAAAGACCTAAGGAAGTGCTGATTTTTAAAAATTCAAATATTTTCCATCACTTTTAGTGACTGATGTTATATTTTCCGTACAATATGTAATTGCATGCCAAATATGTGCCTAACAATATTTTAAAGCAAGTAAAAAAAAAAAAAAAAACTTCAGATCTCAAGTATTTAATGTAGTACTGAAGATAAGAAAAATAAAGATAATAACTAACGATATGTAACATTTATTGCTCCAAATGGTTTACAGATGGTTTATAACCAAGAGCAAGGTACATAATAAAGTGGTGCTTATTTATTAATGTATTTATCAAGAGAAGCTGTCATCCTTAGATGGTTACCTGGAAATGGTGACAGAAATTTGCCTGTGTAAACCTAGGGCAAGGCTAGCACCAGTGCTCTTGAGAAAAAAATAAATAAATAAATGTAACCAAATATTCTTCAGTCCTTTTTTCCCTTTATCTCATGTGCTGTCCCCTCTGTGCCATAAGTTTGCAAAGATTGCACCCTTTTGTGTTCCTTGATAAGAGCTCAGGAAAGTGATGAGGCAATTTGTATTAGAAGCTTAAGAGAACTTCTGGGAGATTTAAAAAAAAAAAAAAACTCCCCCTTCTGGTGAGACCTCTGCCAACCACTATGTCCTGTAGTTACCCTTCAGGCCTGGAATAAAACTTACTCCCATGGCTTCTAGCCAAACGCTAGACAGGCATGTAGGGTGAACATTTACACCAAGTAAATATACTCCTTAGAATGAACAATCACGGGAGAACAAAAGTGCACAGGGAGATAAGCTCAGGGAGCAGGAATGCGTAGGAAAGAAGGACACAGGAAGAGGTAACTACAGGGAGGAAGTGGGAAGAGAGCTGTTACACTGTGGGGATTGCGGTCAATGTCATGAAACAAAATATGTCTGAATTGCCATATGGAAAATGAGTTTGCTCTGTAAACCTTCACCCAAATCACAATGAAAACACAAAAACAGAAACATCCCTCTCTAACATTCACAGTTAAGGAAATTTATTGAGATAAATCTGTGGATTGAAGTCAGCCTGATCAAGATCTAGAAGTCCATGAAATAAATGTATGCTGGCCAGGAAGTTTATTGAAGCTTTCCCCACCCCACCCCCAATTGCATTTTCCTTTCCAAGAAATAGTCAAGTATTTTGTAGTTCTCTTTTGCTTCTAGGATTTTGGCTAAAAAGAAAGCTCTTGGAAGACAACTTCAATGTTGTTGTGCTTTCATCATACATCAAAAAGTAGTCTCCTACTGGTCACTGACTCTCATATTGCCTTTTTTTCTGAAAACATCAGGAAATCCATTTTTACACTGCAGATAGCCCAACTCTTTTCCCCTAAAACACAAACAAATTATATCATGTCATTCTTGAAAACTCTTTAGCACTCCACAGTTACCTATAGGAAAAATCTCAAATTCTGCAAATTTCTTGAGAAAATTCTTATCCACCTTCCGAATTTTAGTGTTCACCACTTCCCCACAGACCCACTGTACTTTCTTTAATGAAAATGCTAGCAGTTTACTACCCTTGTCTGACTCTTTCATCTTTCCTTGTATATTTATGTTAAATCCTTTGGCTAGAATGTCTCCATGACTTGCTTTCTGCCAGCTATATAGTTCCTCATCTTTCTTCATGATTGAGCTCAAATGTTCATAAATCCCCAGAAGAAATTAATTGTTGTTACTTTAAACTCCCATAACATAGGTACATATCTCTATTACTGAATATCATGTTATACTAGAATTGTTTTTATGTTATGTCTACTACTTGGCTATGAGAATTTTGAAGGCATAGACTAGGTGTTTTAATCATATTTCGTTTTCCAATCGCTGGAATATTATAGACCCTTAATGAATGCTAATGTCATTTCCACTATTTAATAAATGCAAACACCTCTTCAATTACTTATGACTTTTAGTTAGCCTCAGATTATCTATAGGTTCTTTTCTCTCTGGGCAACTGATTATAATCTTAGGGAGCTAACTGTTGTTGTTGTTGTTATATGCCGTTGAGTAGGACCCGACTCATAGTGACCCCTCCTTGGGTTTCCAAGATGGTATCACTACGGAAGTAGATTGCCTAATCTTCCTTCTGAGGAGCGGCCGGTGGCTTTGAACCAGCAGCCTTCTGGTTAGCAGTCAAATGCCTTAGGCACTACGCTACTAACTCTTCCATCAAGAATGAGGGTGTCTTCCCATGTTTTGATTCAAGGAATTTTTGAATTTCAATTTTGATTTCTTCTCTTACCCAGTCTTTCTCAAGGAGGGTGTTGTTTAGTTTCCATGTG